AAAAAAAAAAAAAGAAACAAAATGAATGAATAAATAAAATTAAATAAATAATTGTTTTTAAAAATATTTATTTTATTTTATCATCTTTTTTTTTTTTTTAATTTGCTACAGAGCACACGTGCTCACCAGAGAGAGAAAGAGAGAGAGAGAGAGAGAGAGAGAAAGTGAGGAAGCAAGCTGCCACGTCGGGGCCTTGAACCACGATCTGCCATGTGGGATCCAGTGCCATAACCTCCATGCTACCTGCTGGCCCCTCAGACCTCTCTTTCACTTAGTAGAAAGACTTCTTTTTTTCTAATCCCATCTGAAACCCCAACATACGGGAGATAAAGGCAAGCTTCTGTTTGGGAGGACAGCCTTCTAACCTCCCCTTTCCATCCTTAAGGGCACCCCATGAGACACTTCTGCAGATCCCTGTGGTCAATGGGACACAGTTAGATGGCGCCTACTGCAGACCATGTGGTCCGAGTCCCTTCAAGTGGCAGGGCGGGCAGCTCTGCTGTCACATGGCCGGTGGAGGGGCGTGGCTCACAGACTGTCCACTTGCTGCCTAGGAGATGAGTCCTCCCAGTTTGGCGTCCTCCAGCAGTGGCGGCTGACCCTGTACGGCTCTGTGTGGGGCCCAGTAGACATCAGGGACAGGCAGAGGTAGGTACAGCCGCGAGCAGCAGCAGGAAGGCAGGGGCCACCTAGGGAGCGCCCAGTCCTTCCGAATCCCATCCGTGCTGCCCTGCTCCGTCTGAGCACTGTGAATGGAGCCTTGGTCTGGGCCCCGATGGTCTGCTCCTCCCCTTCTGCTGTGGGCTTCCTGTCTTCCACTCTGAGGCGGGAAGATGGGTGAGGGCGGATGGTCTGGACACCATATTTGGAAGGCCATCCTTTCCCTTCTCCACAGGCTGTTAGAAAGTGCCATGAGTGGGGAATACCTGCACGATGGCTTCACGCTGCCTTGCCCACCTGGGCTGAAAATCCCTGAGGAAGACGGTTACACCATCACCCCTAACACCCTCAAGGTACTAGGGCCCAGGCTCAAGCTGCAGGCAGGATGGTCCTAGGGTGTCTGCCCTCAGTGTGATACTCAAGGCGGCCCGGGCAGTGTGAGATTGGGAAGAGCCAGGCCCGACGCTGGTTTCACAGCTCCTGCCCTCCATTCCTCCTGCTCTGCTTGCTAGTCCTAGGGGACAATTCTGGCCAGGGGGAGGGAGAGGGAGTGGCCTGGGGTGGGAGAGGCAGTCCCCAGGAGGGAAAGGATTTGCTGAGCCATTCTGGGCTGGGGCAGGCCGCAGGCTTTGGGCAGCAGTTCTCAGTGAGGTGCTTGCCTTGGCAGAGCTTGGTGCTGGTCGGCTGCTTCACCATCTTCTGGACCATCTACTACATGCTGGAAGTGTATCTGAGCCAGCGGAGCGTGGCTTCCAGTCCAGTTTGTAGGAACGGACCCTGCCACTGGCCCCGGCGGAACCGAAAAGCCAGGGAAGAAGGGACAGAGCTAGAATCAGTGCCACTTTGCGACAGCAAGGATCTAGATGGCATGGAGACTGGGAACGAGGGCCCTCCCACCACCTGTAGCCTCCTGGCCCCAGACCTGCTGCATCAGGGGGACTGGGGCCAAGCGCAGGACAAGAGCGCCCTGGACGGCCCTCATCAGCACCGGTCCGCAGACCTGCTGCAGGAGGAGGAGCAGATTTGCTGACCTCAGGCCCTGACAGTGTGGGACAGCCTCTTCCTTCCCCAAAATGGGGAGTTTGCAAAGCCGCTCCTGACTTCAGGGAGCTCTGGAAGAAAGTGGTCCTGATGCCCACATCTGGAGCCTGGGGCCTAACCAGCATCCTCTGACTACACTCAGGGAGGGCAAGGGCCCTCCCCGGGATCCGCAGTAGAGGGTTGGTGCCAGGGAACCGGCTGCTGAGGGCCGCAGGGCCCTCCTCCAGCTGCACAGAGCTCTGGGCGAGGAGGTCTTGGACAAGGGACTGGCTACCCCACTGGGGGGCCTCCGTCCTCGCTGTTCTTGGGCAAGCCAGTGGTCTAGGGTTGAGGGCCCCCACCCATGTGCGGGTTGAGGAGGCACCTGCCATGTCCGTGAGAGCATCTCATCGGGAACATCACTGGGGTCACTTAGAGGCTTCGGGGTAGAGGCTGGGGAGAGGCCGAGCGGCCTGAAAGCAGCCGCTCCCATCATCCCTTCCACGGACTCCCAGTCAGAAGCCAACTCTGGATGGATCCCTGACTCCTCCATCGCCCCTCGCCTTCCTGAAGGATTGGTATGATGTTCTTGGTGGGCACAGCCAGGTGGCCATAGCTCCCAAGGCCCGTGCTGCTTCATCAGGGAGGTCTGCGGCAGGACTGCGGAGCAGGGTCAGAGTGCGCGTTTCAGGGGCCAGCTCAGGAGCCGCTGCCGCTCCAGCCCTGCGCCCACCCTGTCTTCCTCTGCACAGTGCTCAGGGAAAGGGCCTTCTCCAGGAGGCTCTGCCTTTTCCACCTGTTCTCAGCCCCTCCCAGCTCCTTGTCTTCTGAGCTAAGTTGGTTGATTTGCATAGTTTTTAATGCTAAAGATTTGGTTTTCTCTTTTCAAGGCAACATTTTGTTGAATCTTTTTTCCGCACAGCTTTTCCAAAATAAAAACCTTTCAAACAGTTCTGCCACTCCCATCTCTCTCCTGCCTCCCTGAAGCTAATG